ACTTAATAATAATTTTTCAGTTAATTTATTTTTTCCCTAAAATAAAAACAAAAATTTTATTTTCTTTTGTATTGAAAATAAATAAATATTTACTTTTAAACGAAAACAAACAAGTCCAAGTACAACATCTCCGACGATTTCAAAACGATCATCTTCGTTTATTAATGTAGCAAATACTTTTGCTAAACGACAATGCTATACAAGAAAATAGAAAATAAAATTAACTATTAACAAAAAAAGAAAATATTTTATACTTCGCGAATATAATGGCGGAGACCTTCAACTCCATAACTTCGGATAGTAAACCATAGTTTAAGTGATCGAAATCGACGACTTAATGCAATACCCCAGTGCTATATAAAAAAAATATTAATAAAATAATAAAATTTTTCAACAAATAAATTACTCGTAAATCTGTTGATTTTTCAGTATGTTTATGTTGAAGATATAATGGATCAACAGACATAGCATTAATAACTGCAAATTTATCTTGTACCCTGATATAGTAGTAATATAAAAAATAAGCATATTACTCAAAAACAAGATTCTTTACCAAAAACATGAACAGTCAAAATTCATTAGAAGCCATTTATTTGGATTTGTATTGAATGAATCGACATACTAGAAAAATTAAAGTAAGAAAAAATTTATAAAATCAAAATAATTTACTTCAAATCCTCTTGATAAATAACGATATTCATCACAGATGAGTGCGGCACCAGCGTATGCACCATCAACATGTAACCAAAGTTGTTCACGTTGACAAATTTGTCCGAGTTCTTCGAAATTATCAAATGAACAACATGATGTTGTACCTAATGTACCACATACCTATTTTGAAATTCAAAATATAATTAATTACAAGGAAAAATAAATAAATAGAATACGAACAAAAAACGGAATTAAGCCTTGTTCTTTATCAGCTTGTATACATTCATCAAGTGTTTGTCCACGTAATGAATAATGTTCATCAACAATTAAATGACGAATTTGTACCATTGCAATTAAACTAGCTTTTTCTACAGACGAATGAGCCTAATAAAATATAAAATTCAACATAAAAAAAACTATAAAATATAAACATACAAGTTTTGATGTATAACAAACAAGTTTTGATAATATTTGTCCATCTTCCATTGATGGATTTTCTAAACGTTTACTTTCTAATTTTTTAGTTCTTGCTGCTAACATAGCTACTAATATACATTCACTTGCTGATCCCTAAATAAAAATAAGTAATACAATTTCGATTAAATTATGATAAGAAAAAAAAGAATTAATTACAAGAAGAACAGCACCACTATTATTTTCGGCTTCGGAGTCATTATCACAGTTGGGTGTTTCAAGTTCACAACCTTTACTTGTATTGAATGGAAGAAATTTCGTTGGTAAAGACATCATACGACCAAGCCAATCAAGCATAATAGGTTCAAGTTCAGTACATGCTGGACTTGCTGCCCATGAAAAACCGACAATACCAAGACCTGATGAAAGCATCTCAGCAAGAATTGATGGATAACTATTTCCCGCAGGAAAATATGCATGAAAACGTGGATGTTGCCAATGTGTTATACCAGGCATTATAGTTCTGTCAACATCTTTCATTATTTCATTCCATGGTTCACCTTTTTCAGGTGCATCTTCTGGTAACATTGGTCGTAAATAACCAGGTTCAACTTCAGGTGTTACACGACGTTCACTATTTATTTTAATAAAAATAAACAATACTTTTTTTTTTTTGGTTTTCTCTTCTTACTGAATATTAGTTAGATAATCTGCGATATAATCAATCATTTCTTTACCATGACGACGAAATTCTTCATGGGTCATGTCGGATTCTATTGAATTTGGCCTAAGTGTATTCGATATAGATTCATGTTGTGTTTGTGGAGTTTTTGTTAAAGTATTCTTAGGTTTAATTCGTTTTTCATCAGTACTAAGTAATAATAATAATTTTATATAATTAGGAAAAATAATTAAACAATTCTACTTACTCAGAATCATTATTAGCAATCATACATGACGTATGATTATGGAAACAATGCAAAACTTTCTTTACTCTCTTCATCTTATTAGTAGAATTTTAAATCGACGATCAAAACAGAAATTTACGATCGTATGCACTCGATTTGACTGACCGACTAACTTATAGTCGAAAACGAATGTAGGAAACAATGGAATACACATTTCTATATTGTTCGATACTGAACAATAGCCAGTACTGTTTACTACTATAACAATGTGTGTCAGTCAGTTTGCGTCCTCTATTTTGTTAATTTTACCAATAGATTCAAATATTACTAATTTCAAAAGAAATATAAACATTATTTATTTTATCGATGATTTTTTTCCAGAATAACAAATATAATGTCTTGAAAAAATATATTTTTTATTTATAACAAATTAATATTGAAATAAAAATTAAAATATTAATAAACTCGTTGAACTAGAGTATTGAATTATCTAAAATATCCGCTTGGTTTTTTTTCCAAATAGTTTAATAATTTGTTTGATTAAATAATATTTCTACATGATTATATAATAAACTATTTCATCGCACAAAGATTTATTCGATTTATAAATAAAAGAATTGAAAAATGTGAAAAGTTATAAATATGAATATATGATATGATTTGATGGTTTATTTCAACCAAATAGGTTTGACTTGTCTGATGATTCATTCCACTATGTCAATTGTTACTACACGTGTGTAATTGCATCGATATCAAGAAATATTTTTATTCGTAATTATTTAAGAGTAGAATTTATTTTAATTTATAATTTTTAGACAAATATGGACGCGATAGAGTTAGCTCTTCGCAAATGTTTACATGTCCTTGTCTCTTCGAATACAATTACTGAACGAAAGGTTGAGAAATTAAATAGAATAATTCATATTTTATATCTTTTTTTTCTACAAATTTTTAGAGAAATGTTGAGACTTTTGTTGAATTACTGAAAGATAATCGAACTCATGAATTACTTGATAGTCAAATTTATGATGAAAATACTACAAAACATTCAACAACATGGAATGAAATGTTCAATGTTAGTTCAGTAGAGTTTTTCTTGTAAATTTATTTTTTGTTCGAATTTTCAGATTATTCGAGAATATACTATCAATGAATTATCGAATATTCGAACAAAATCAGGAAAAACTGCTACACCTGATATTAAATATCAAGAAAGTTTAAAATTATTTAAAACTCTTATTGAAAATTCTAATACACGTATATCTAATAATAATCATATTTATAAAAGTACTTGCATATTTATCTTAGGTGGTCCTCAACTTGATGCTCGTTCTCTTATTGAATCTATTCTTTCAATAATAACTAGTGAAGTATGGTCATCATGTACAATACTCATAAAAGAACTGAATCATTTATTAATTAACAATGTTCTTTGTTTTCATAAATATATTAATGAATTACGTGAACAAGAATGGATTGGTAAATAAAAAAATATTCATATATATAGATAAGAATTTGTTTTTATTAGATTTATGTGTATTATATATGTCATTATTGAAAACTTCTGATAAATCATCTCGTGAAAATGATCAATCACTTTATAGTTCATATTTAAAATTTTTGATAGAAAAATTAGTTGTTTATAATGATTTAGATTCCAGTAAATTATTGATTAGAAAAGAATTATTAGATTTTTTTCAAAATGAAATTGAACAACTTAAGTTTGTATTTTATTGAAGAACAAATTTTTAAAGAAAAAAACAATTTTTATTCAATATTTAGAAATTCAAATTATTTTTCTACAATAGAAAATTTTCTTTGTTCACTAAATTCTTGGTCATTTAAATATTTATATGATATGCCAGAAGATATTTTTCAATTGGGTTATGAATTTTTATCATCATTACTTGAAATTTGGAGAAGAAAATGTAGTGATAAACCAAAAGTAAATCATTTTCTTGTAAAATAATAATTTTACTTTTTTTATTCGTAGACAGAAATTATTAAATTTTGTCGTTTACAAATAAGTATTCATCATCCATATCATAGACGAAATATTTTACAAACATATGATGATATCTGGATGGTAAGATACTAACCCTAAAGATCATATATAGACAAGAGGAGAACAGCGGACTTCAAGATTTTAAAGACTTCAAAAGATTTCAGAAGAATTCTAGGGACTTCAAGGATTTCGTGAGACTTCATGAGACTTTAGGCATGAAGTCTCTGTCGTTTACCCCTTGTATATAGATGAATAAGAGATATTTTAATTTAGAAAAATCTTCGCGATATCAATGATTTACTTTTGAGAGAAATTGATGAAATCTGTCTTAAACGTGTGAATAATCGACAAAATCAAAATGAATTTCTTATTCGTTATGATTTACTTCATTTAGCAAGTAGTGTATTTTATCAGGTAAGATTTGTTCAAAATTGTTTTTGTAAACAATATTTATGATATTTCTAAGCTTTGTTCAAATGAATTTATAATTAAAAATGAAGCAATGGATATTGATGATGATGAAGAATTATTGGAACCTAGTCCAAAACGAACACGTTTTGAACATTCAATATCTATATCAACAAATTTGAATGCACAAATGAAATCTTTTCAAAATTTATTTCAGTCAATTGATTCTCACCATCAAGCTGTTGGGTAAGAAATTGTTTGATTATTCGTACTATTAATTATTATTCTGTTTTAATTAGTTTCCAAATCCTTTCATTACAACTTGAAAGAAATATATTATTAACTTCAACAGATTGTGATTATTATATGAGTGTAATTAAACGATATTTAACTGATGAACGAAGGTAAAAAGATTATTTTACGTATAGTTTTTTCTAAATTATTCTTGATTTCTAGACCTTCATTATTAGTAAATGCACTTCGATGTCTTCATCTCCTTTTAATTCATACATCATATTGTCAATTAACATCTGATTTAATTCTATTAATTCAACCATTAATTCATCTACCCGTATGTGAATCATATGTTATTGAAATACTTTCAAATAAAAATTTATCTTTATCTCAACTTTGTTCATGTTCATCAATAACTTCATTAAAATATATTTTCTATTATTTAACACTTTATTCAAATAATCAATATTCATTAGATGATAAAAATAAATTAATTGATAAGTTTCTACCAGATTTAATAAGTTTATATCGTAATAATGAACATGATTTATCAATATTTTTTTCATCTTATTCATCAGAATATACTCATATATGTGCATCAATTCTTATGCAATATAGTTCATTAGATATTTTACCAAATCAATCAAATAAAAATCCAACAAAAGATTTTCTTTCAAATGAATTTGATCAAATTGAATTTCAATGGTCTCAACTGAAATTATTAAATTCTGTTAATGAAAACGAAGAAAAAAATATTCAGTTAGATTTTTATTCAAAAATGAATACATGCGAATTAAATCTAAATATTTTTAAACAAATAATAGAAATCTATGGAAAAAATGTTCGATTTATTCAACAATTAAAAGACAAACATTTAGTAAGAATTATTCTTTATTTCATTTTGTATTAAACATCTTTTTATTAATAGGGTGAACGGAGTAAACTAATTCTTCATTATGCATTTCTTGGTATTCATATGCTTAATATACTTCAATTATATTTTATTAATTCTACACATAATGATGAACAAATAATACGTTTTATTGAAAGTATTCAAATATTATTTAATGAATTAACTGATGAAACAATTTTTATATTTACTAAAACTCAAGA